CCCCTCCCCTTTTCCCAGGCAATCCCACCCCTCTTTTCCCAGGCAATCCCCCCCCCTTTTCCCAGGCGATCCCACCCCCTTTTCCAGGCAATCCCCCCCTTTTCCATGCAATCCCCTCCATTGGCGCCGCTCACTGTGTGGCTGGAGCTGGGTGAGGTCCCTGAGGATGGTTCGGAAGGAGGGTCGTTCCCCGGGGGTGTAATGGAGGCACTGAGAGATGAGCGAGGCCAATTCCGGCCCCGACGGCTCCGGGAGCCGCAGCCGCTTCTCGTAGAAACGCTCCTTCTGTGGGAAAAACGGGAAAACCGGGAAAAACGGCCCTCAGAGACGGCCTCGGTGCGGGAGACGGCTCAAAATGGCGGGATACGGCCTAAAATGGCGGGATACGGCCCAAAATGGTGGGATATGGCCTAAAATGGCAGGATATGGCCCGAAATGTGGGATACGGCCTAAAATGGTGGGATAGAGCCTAAAATGGTGGGATACAGCCCAAAATGGTGGGACAGGGCCTAAAATGGCGGGATAGGGCCTAAAATGGTGGGATACAGATCAAAGTAGGGGGACACGGCCCAAAGTGGGGGGATACAGCCCAAAACGATGGGATATGGCCCAAAATGGCGGGATAAGGCCTAAAATGGCGGGATATGGTCCAAAGTGGTGGGATACGGCCTAAAATGGCGGGATATGGCCCAAAGTAGGGGGATATGTCCCAAAATGGCGGGATAGGGCCCAAAATGGCGGGAGCGGCACCTCGGAAGGGGTCCGTTCCTTCAGCGGGACGTCGGCATCGAAGCAGATTTCCAGCAGGGTCGTCCCAAAGCTCCACTTGTCGGCGGCCGTGCTGAGGTTTCCCACATCCCGGACGCATTCCGGGGCGATCCAGGGAATCCGGTCCACGCGCTCTGTGGGGAACGGGAGAGATCCTGTGGGGAAAGGTCTTGGAGAGAGGCCGGACACTGAGGGGGGGATGAGCCCTGAGGGTGGGTTTGAGCCAAAACCAGACGGAATTCCCACAGAATTCCCACATCCAAAATGCCAAATGCTGGGAAAATTTATGTTGGGAAAGTAGGGAAGACTTTGGCGAAACAGCTCTGGCAAAATCCGTGGGATTTGTGAGGGAAGGGGGGAAAAACCGGCCGGATTTTCCGCTGGGAATTCCATCCCTGCCCAGCTCCGGGCCGGGATGATCCCGTACCTTCCCGGGAGAGCACCGTGAAGCTGATCCCGGGATCACTGAGCTTCACGAAGGGAGCGGATCCGTCTTCCAGCCCTTTCCTGGCCAGCAGGATGTTCTTGGCACACACGTTCCCGTGCACCAGGTTTTTATCCTCCTGGGACAAAACAAAGGGACAGGAAAACTTGGGAAAGCTCCCAGGGATGCAGCGGGACAAGGTCAAGCCCAGGGATTCCGGAATAAAATGGGAAAGTGGGATTCCTGGCTCTAATTCTCTGTGTCATCTTCCTGTCCTGGGATTTTGCTCCAGGATAAACCGGGAGCAGGGAATGAAAGGATGGGGAGGGTTTTCCAGCACCATTCCCAAGCCCCTGGGTTGGGATCCCATCCTCATCCACGGCTTTTCCCAGCTCCGAAATGAACTCACAGAGCCGGGATTTGGGATTTGAATTCCCCTTCACCCCAGGATGTTCCTTCCCAGGGAAGAAGGAGCAAGGATGGGGCACAATAACCCTAAAAACGGGATTATCTCCTGGGGAAGCAAAGGGAAGTGGCTCCAGGGGAGGATATCCACGAGAATTCCCGGCCGGAAGAGCCCCATTCCCA